CCGCGGGAGAAAGATGAGGCATTCTACTCCCGTAAAGATTTACACCCTCGGAAACCCTGTACAGGGTCGCTATGGGTCGGAACCGACTCGACAGCACATAACAACAACAATAGGAGAAGCTGGTGAGTTTGAACCACCAACTTTGGGGCTCAAACTGACCTTGAGGTCCAGTGTTTATTGTGCAGCTCCACACGAGGACTCATAGATACTGGTTAGATTGGTAGAAGTAATGGTGCAACTGTATGGAGTATGTTCTGATTGGCTGTATTTCCTCATTTGTGTTATGTGTATCTATCTTCTAACTCCATGCTAGGCAATAAGATCAATATAATCCTAAAGCAATTTTTGGTAACCCTTAACTTTTTTAATGGTCTTGGTGTGATGGTGTGGGTTAATGCCATTCAAAGGTCAGCTTGCACTGCAAGGTTGGCGGTTCAAGCTCATCAGGAGCTCCTTAGAAACACAGGGTTGCTATGAGTCAGAACCAACTCGATGGTTTTGTAAATGGGTAACTTCTTTGTTTTCCTGATAAGTTGGAGATAGAAAGGGAAGAGGAAGTTAATGATAGTGAGGTTCTTAACTTACAACAGAGCCCCCTTTCATTTCTTGGCTGAGTGTTCCCCCTTGTATATTTTGGCACATTGAGGAGATGGAGTGTTGGGTGTGATGGTAACAGCTAACCTGGAATTCTGTTAGATACGTGTTTGAAACTTGTGTTTCCATATATGCGTTTAGAGAGTGGAACACAGACTTCCTTTTTGTATTCTGTAATCCAACAGTATGTTATTTTTTGAAATAAAAACTGTATGTGTATTTTTAGTACCTGATTTTTATAGACCCTTCTATCCTACTGGATTCACTTTGCACAATCTTTAAAGAGTTGTCATGCAATGAGCTCTATTTGTGGACAAGAAACACATGCTTGTTGGTTTATGTAGTGCTAAGCTAACTGTGTATAAAACACATGTGGATAGAATACATAAAGGAAATGACTACTGTAAAACTGGAGAGGATTTTAATCTGTTTCCCAAAAGAAAATAATGCATTTGTTTTTGATTTAGAAATGCCGAACAAGTCACTATTGTGTAGGTTAATCAATTGGTTTAAATGATTAAAGGTAATTGAATAAATGAATTCCAGTAATAAATGTCCTAGTCAAGTTAATATATATTATACATTTAGGCCATTGATTTTGAATTTAGATTTGTTATGTCTTGAATGAGTCTTTGTTCAAAATTTCTAATATGGTACATGGAATTATGAGTTTGTGAGTTATAATTATTATTGAAAGTAATGAATACTTGGATATAAACTAAAGAAAAGCACATGAATATTAAAAAAAAAAAAAAAAGCAGAAAAGCTATCTTTGCTTATGAAGTTATTTTCTTTTCTTGGTTTTAGTTACAATTTAGAAAGCAGTATATGGAATGTAGGAACTCTATCCAGGGGACCTGTCCAGAGATACGGACACTCTCTTGCTTTATATCAGGTATGGACAGTGATTAAATGTTAGCTGTTTTTGTGTGCATGTAAGATTCACAAAGTTGTCACTTGAATGTATTTATGTGTATATATAGATATAGTTTAATTACGTGTATTAATGATGATCTGTCTCCCCCCATTAGAAAGGAAACTCCTTGTGGACCAAGAACATTTTGTATTTACTGGTTAGATTATTCCTGTCATGTAATTATTGTTGTTGTTAAGTGCTATCGAGTTGGTTCCAAATCCTAGTGACCCTGTATAGGGCTTCTGAGGAGCAGTTGTTGAGCTTGAACCACCGATCCTGTGGTTCAATCTGACTTTCAGTCCAGTGCATTAACCTATAATGCCACATCATAAACACATGCTGAATGGATGAGTGACTGAATAAATACTCTGTTGGTTTGGCTTCTCCCCTATATTATGTTGAAAAGCATTTTCCACAAATGCAGGCATGATTACAAAATACACAGACATGCTGTAGACAGTGAATACCATCTAACTAGTACTTTCTTTCTTTTTTAGAAATTTCTTCTTCTTCTTTTTTGTTGTTGTTATTTACAACACATGCTACTACCCTCCAGCCAGTGACCTCCCCTTCCCTCCTCTCCCACCTTTGATAGCCATCAAATAATCTCTCTTTGAGTGAAAAACTTTTTTTTGGAATTTTTTAATAGTGTTCTTATACAGTATTTGTTCTTTTCTGACTGACTTGTTTTACTCAGCCTAAAGGCTTCCAGATTAATCTAGGTTGTAAGGTGTTCTTTGCAGACTCATTGTTACTCTTTAATGTTGCATAGTATTTCTCAAGTGTATATACCAAAGTTTGTTTGTTCTCTCTTCCATTGATGGACATTCAGGTTGTTCCGTCATTTGCTATTCTCAACAGTGCTGTGATGAACGTGTGTGTGCATGTATTTATTTGTGTCACGGCTTTTATTTCTCTAGGATCTATGCCAAGTAAAGGGATTGCTGGATCAAATGGTATTTCTGCTTCCAACTTTTCCACAGCGGTTCTACCACTTTACAGTCCCACAGCACTGAATGAAGGGTCGCTATGGGTCGGAACCGATTTGATGGCACTTATCAACAACAACAATGGCTAATGGTAGCATAGTGGTTACGAATCGGGCTGCTAACCTCAAGGTCGGCATTTCGAAACTACCAGCTGTTCTGTGGGAGAAAGATGAGGCTTTTTGCTCCTGTAAAGATTTACAGCCTTGGAAACCCTGTGCAGGGTGACTATTAGTACTGACTCCACAGTATTTAACAACAACAACAACAACAATGGCTAACGGTATGGCACCGTGGGTTAAGCACTGGACTGCAAGGCCAGTTTGAACCACAAGATTGGTGGTTCAAACTCACCAGTTACTCCTTGGAAACCCTATACAGGGTCACTATGAGTCAGAACAACTTGACTTCACTTAACAATAGCAACAGTGGCTAATGAAGAGTCCTGGTGAGGTGCTGTGAGACAAATCACTAGACTGAAAGGTTGATTTGTACCACAAGGTTGTTAGTTCAAACTCACCAGTTGCTCCTTGGAAACCCTATACATGGTTGCTATGAGTCAGAACTGACTCACCGGCACTTAACAACAACAACAATGGCTAATGATCATGAGCATTTTTTAATGTTTGTTGGCCACCTGAATGTCTTCTTTGGTGAAGTGTTTGCTCCTGTCCTCTGCCCCTTTTAAAATTGGATTATTTGTATTTTTCTTGTCAAGATGTTGTCGTTTTCTGTAAATTTTAGAGGTTAATCCCATGTCTGATATGTCATTGTCAGATATTTTTTTCCCCAGCCTATGGATTCTCTTTTTACTCTTTTAGTGATTTTTTTTTTTGAATATTTTAAATCAAGAAAGACTCACGTATTTCATATTTTGTAGTTAGACTTTCAAAATCAAATTTTTATGTATTTCCTGTGCATATTTAAAAAGATCTGTGCATATTTATAAGGAAGAAAATAACAATGGCGCATAAAAATGCCGCTGCCCTCCTTTTTACTGCATATGCAAAATTTAAAAAAGAACATAAAATTTAGTTCTCTTTCTCCGTATGTACGTGTTTATACGTATATATGTTTGTATAAATAATACGTATATGTGTCTTTGTCTTCTTTTAGTTTTGATTTTTAGTTCTTGTATAATTTTATTATAATACAATTTTGAAATAGAATTCACACACTCTATAGTGCATTCCCTTAAAGTGTACAATTTAATGTTTTACTTGTTTGTTTTCTTTGTAAGTATACTCACGGAGTTGTACAACCATCACTAAAGATTTTCATCACTCCAAAAGAGAACGCTTTGTAGTTTAGTACCATTTCTCAGCCCCTTCATCTCCAGCCCTAAGTAGGCACTGATCTACTTTGTATTGGTCTAGATAGATTTTATGCTCTGGCTATTTCATATAAATATGAAATAATGGAATCATAGAATATATGGTCTTTTGTACCTGACTTCTTTCCCTTAGCATAATTTTTTCAAGGTTGCTACATGCTGTACCATGCATCAGCATATTTTTCTTTGTCTGAATCACGCTTTGTTGAATGGACATACTCCTTTTGTTTATATGTGCATCAGGTCATGGACACTTGGGTTGTTTGCACCTTTTAGCAGTTATGAATTATGCTGCTAGGAATAGTAATGCCGTACAAGTTTTTGTGTGGACATACGTTTTCATTTTTGGGGGGTATGTACCTAGGAGTAGATCAAATGGTAACTCTACATTTAGCTTTTTGAGAACTTGTCAGTGTTTTTCAATCTGACAGTACAATTTTACACTTTGACTCAGAGTGCATGAGAGTTCTAGCCTCTTCATAGCCACATGGACACCTTTTATTATCTGACTCTTTGATTATAGTCATTGTACTAGGTGTAAATGTGGCATTTCATGGTGCTTTAGTTTTGCCTTTACCTAATGACTAAGGTTTCTGAGCATCTTTTCATGCGTTTCTTAGCCATTTGTTTATCTTCTTTGGAGACATGTCTATGCAAATCCTTCGCCCATTTTGCAATTGGGTTATTTGCCTTTTTTATGATTCACTTGTAAGATTTCCAAACAAAATATATATTCTAGATACAAGTCCTTTATCAGAGTCAGGATTTGCAAATATTTTCTCCATGAGGATTTATTTGCAAATAGATCCTGAGGATTTTCATTTCACTTTATACTGGTGTCCTTTTAAGCACAAATGACAGAAGTGTTTCATTTTGTCGATGAAGCCCAGTGTATTTGTGTCTTCTTTTGTTGCTTGCACTTTTGTTGTCATGTCTAAGAATCCATGGCCAAATTCAAGGTAAATAGAGATACTCCTTTTTTTTTTTTTTTTTAAAGAGTTTTGTAATTGTGGTTCTTACATTGAGGTCTCTGATACTTCTGAATGAATTTTTTTTTATATTGAATAAGGTTAGGGTACTCTACTTCCGTCTTTCACATACGGCTGTCCTGTTTCCCTAGAGCCATGTGGTAACAGGAAGGGTCTTTCTTTATTTGATAGCCCTGGCTCTCAATCTATCATAGACATATGGGTTTATAGCTGGACTTGCTTTTATATTACATTGATCTATAGATCTATCATTATGTCAGTATCGTTGTCTTGAAACTAGAAAGTGTGAACCCTCCAAATTTATTTTCTATTTTTTTAAAGACTGTTTGAATATTCTGGATAAATTGAAATTACTTATATTAGAATCAGTTTCTGCCTAGAGGTCATTTGGGATTCTGATACTGTGTTGAATCTATAGATCAATTTGGGGGTATTATCATCTTATAAGGAGCTCTGGTAGTGTAGTGGCTACGTATCGGGCTGTGAACTGCAAGGTCAGCAGTTCGAAACTACCAGCTGTTCCGTGGGAGAAAGATGAGGCTTTCTGCTCCTGTAAAGATTTACAGCCTCGGAAACCCTGCACAGGGTCGCTATGAGTCGGAACCGACTCCACGGCACATAACCACTACCACCACCATCATCTTGTGAGTAAAAAGTCTTCCCGGTGTGGCACTGCGGGTTAATGCACTGGACTGTAAAGTCAGTTTGAACCTCAGGGTTGGCGGTTCAACCTCACCAGCCACTCCTATACAGGGTTGCTATGGATCGGAACTGATTGGACAACATTTACCAACAACAACAATCCATGAACACAGGATGTTTTTCCAGTTATTGATATCTTCTTTAATCTCTTTTTACAACGTTTTGTCATTTTCAGAGTATAAGGTTTATATTTGTATTAAATTTATTCTAGTACTTTATTCTTTTTGATGTCACATAATTGACTTGGTTTCTTTATTTCAGTTTTGGATTTTTCTTTGAAAGTATATAGAAATACAATTGATGTTTGTATATTTATCTTGCATTCTTAACTTTGCTGAATTCATGTATTAGATGTAATTCTATGTGTGTTTCCTCAAATTTTCTGTATACACAATTACGTCCTCTTGTGAGTAGAGGTATTTTACTTATTTATTTGTAATTTTGGATGCTTTTTTTCCCTCCTGATTGCTTTAGCTAAAACCTCCAATATGACACAGAGTGAAGGTGGTGAATTGGCGGGGGTTAGATATCTTGTCTTGTTCCTTTTCTTAGGGGAAAGCATCCGCTTTTCACCACTTAATATGATGTTGTTAAGTGCCGTATAGGGTCTCCAAAGAGCGGCTGGTGAGCTTGAACCAACGATCTTGCAGTTCAAACCAACCTTGCAGTCCAGCGCATTAATCCTCAGCACCATACCGGGACACCAATACGATGTTAGATGTGGGTTTTTCTTAGAGCATCTTTTCCAGGTTGAGGAAGTTCCCTTCTATTCTCAGCTGAAATAGATAATGATTTGTATCATTTCTGTATCATTCATTTTGATCCTATGTGATTGAAGTTAACGCGATTTATAAATATCATGGAGATTTACTAAAAGTGTACTGCTTACAGCCGTAGAAATGGTAATAAAAATATATTGCACATGATGCACAATTGTGGTCTCCCTTTTTGCTGACAGATTTTGGTGAAAATAGTGACCAAGTAAGAATAGCACAAATAGTGCAGACAGGAAGAAAATTCAAATGTAACAATTAGGATTCAGATCTTTCAAGGACTTAAAAGCAGACTCTGAAGACTGATCAGCAGCAGCTCACTCTGTTACTCTGGTGCTCTATGCAGGGAGTACATTTTTCCTGGTTGTAGACCCGCCCCTTCCTTAAAGCTCACGTTCTTAAATAGCTTATTTCATGTTCCATTCTTCCTACATAAGATTAAAAACTTGTTTATTGTCTTTGTATTATAATTGTTTTATATTAAATTATTTTAGAGTAACTTTTTATAAACATGGATTTTTAATAAACCTTCCATAAACATGTTGGTGTTGTATTATGATTGTTTTAAATAAAATAATTTCAGAGTAACTTTTTATAAGCATGGATTTTTAATAAAACTTTCCATAAACCTGTTGGCATGTAAATTTATTACCAATATTCATGTGTTCCTAACTGACTTTTAACAAATATAATTTATGCCATATGCCTGCTCTGAGCAGTTGCTAAAATTTCATGTTTAAAATGAGTTTTTATTCGGAAACTGTCTTATGTGTTAATATGTACATTTTAACTTTCAGGAAGACATCTTTATGTATGGAGGCAGAATTGAAACAAATGATGGCAATGTTTCGGGTGAATTGTGGGTTTTCAACATCCATAGTCAGTCCTGGAGTACAAAAACCCCTACAGTTCTTGGACATAGCCAGCAGTATGCGGTGGAGGGACACTCAGCACACATTATGGAGGTGGACAGTGGAGATGTTGTCATGATCATCATATTTGGATATTCTGCAATATATGGTTATACAAACAGCATACAAGAGTACCACATCTGTGAGTTACTTTAAACATATGTTTAACGACAAATTCTCTTTTTTATTGGTTGAGAATATATTTTTCTTCAATAGTCTTCCTATGAATTTTGTTATAAGGGTGAGTGATTTAAGATCAGAATTATCAACCAGAAAATAATAATTGCTTTTGTAAACTTTTTCGTTATGTGTTAGATTTTGTCCTATAATAATTAGGTTTAAATTCTTAGCCAAATTTATTGTTGTTGTGTGTCGTTGAGTTGGTTCTGACTCATAGCAACTCTGCATCAAGCTTCTGAGTCTGTAAATCTCTACGGGATTTACAGAAAACCTCATTTTAGCCAAATTAGGGGAAATGTATTATTTCCAAGAGTAGGTCAAAAAGTATTACTACTAGGGCTCCAGTTCATACAAGCATGGGTTTATTACCAACAAAATGTGCCTAAGCAAGTCTCTGATCAGTGGGTGTCTGCAGACTGGTTCTTTCAATAATACACATGCCTTAGTCTCATTAGGATGTTTTCAAAATAAAGGTCTAGTCAAAGCAGTGACTTCTGAGGGATCTGTCGGTCCACTTAAATCCAGTCAGTTCAGGAGGCTGTGGCCACTGGTTTTTTAGATTCCAAAGGGGCAATCTTGATAGACTTTCTCAAAGGAAACAGAAAGATCACAGGAACTTATCATGAAGAAGTTTTAAGAAAATTGAAAATTGCATTGGTCAGAAAGAGGTCAGGAACGTTCCACTGGGCAATTTTTTCCTTTCTATCATGTTAATACATTTTCAAGGATAGCAAGGGCCGTCCTCTGAGAACTTCACTGG